AATTGCACATGGATTTGGAAGTCAAAAACCTCTGTTCTACTTCTACTACTCTGTTTTACTTCTATCACTGATTAATTATGTTTCCTTTGTTACATTTCTTAATCCTCAAATATCTGTTTCTTCCTCTGCAAAAGAACCTACTTTTTAAGATTATAAGAATTAAGACAATGAACAAATCACCAAGAACAACAAACATAAATTACATAGTGCATGCACAATGAACCCAAAAGTTCTCTACATGTCCTATGTAAATCAGAAATAAATATAACCAATAGATTAGGAAAGACTCATATGACTACCATTTATAACATCTATTTGGTGCTAAGCATGCTGCATGGTGCTTTGTATACATTACTTCTATTCCTCATGATAACTTCAAAAAGCGATAATTATCATTTTCTTTAAAATGAGGAAATTGGGATAAGTTGCTGCTATCTGGGATGTATGGATCTCCTGTAAGCACAGTATATTATAAATTGGGGATATAGAAATATTTCTAGGGAAATGGATTTTAAGCACTGCAGTTTAATAATTACTTGGAGGCAGGCAGGGAGTGTTTGTTAAAAAGGTAGATTCCTGGGGCCCACATGCTAGGATTCTGGGTCTAGATGAGGCCCAGCAAAATGCAGTTTTAAAAAGTGTCCCGTCATTTTATTTTTTTATTTTTTTTTAAAGATTTATTTATTTATTTATACAAGCACTGGGTACAGTCAGAGACATGGGAGGGTGAGAGAATTCACCAGAGCCAGAGCGGAGAGTAGAATAGACAGTGACGAAGTACACTGCTGAGGGGAGCAGCGGGCAGCAGGAGAGGTCTGCGCGCCATGTGGGACCTTCCTTTGGTGGCCGGGGATCGAACCAGCGCTGCAGAGGCTGCGGGCAGCTTCGCAGCCCAGTGTTCAACCGCTGCGCCACCAGGGGAGGCCCAAAAAAGTGTCCTGTCATTTTAATGAACTGGTTCCTTGGAGGACATTTGGATAAATATTACTCTGTAAATCATACCTTAGTTTATTTCCCTTGCTTTAAATCCCAGATTTTAAGCTAGGGTAAGAGAAGGAGGATTCAGAAGTAGACTAAATTGAATTGAATCTGTAGACTAAAAGTGAATTTTTGTAATAAGCCTACAACTCTCCCCCGACTCTTAGCCCTTTTCAACCTCAAGATATTTACCATTGGTGATACTTCCAGACACTACCTGCAATTCTTGATGTCTCTAATAAACCTTTGTTCATCCAGGCTCAATTTAACTGTACTAGCAGCAAAGCAATAGGGAGAATGGAGACAGGATCCTTACAGGGTAACTATAGTCATGGCTCTGCAGAATTATCACAAGTGTAATATCTTGTAAGCTACATTTTCTTATCTATAAATATTGTATATGATTTTCTTCTAGAAAATATGTTGTAAGGATTTACACATTGTCTAGCACATAGTAGGTGCAGTTGTCCCTAAATATCTGGGGGGAATTAGTTTCAGGAACCTGGAGATACCAAAATCGAACAATGTGCTCATATTTGCATATACCTATCTTTTCTTCTCCAAAGCACATAGAGCTTTCTCAAGAATAGATCATATGCTAGGACATAAAACATGTATTAGAAAATACATGAAAATAAAAATTATATCAAGCATACAGACCCTAATGCTATGTAACTAGAAAATTAGCTACAAAAGGAATCCTGGAACCAATTAAAGCATGTGGAGACTAAACAAAATGCTTCTAGACAACTCCTGGGTCAATGAAAGAAGAGATCAAAAAATATTTAGAGACTATGAAAATGGAGAGACTAGCTATAAGAGACAATGGAATACTCTGCAAGGAATACTACATGAGAAGTACAAGAATGATCTCAGTTTAATTAACTGCAGCAGAAGAAATTAGAAAAAGAAGAACAAAAGCATCCAAAAACCAGTAAAAGAAAAAATAAAAATTAGGGCAGAAATAAATAGAAAACTAAAAGTCATTTCAAAAGATCAGAAAGAGTTGGCGCTTTGAAAAGAAAACAAACAAAACTGACAACCCATTAGCTATAATAAGGAAAGAAGAGAGAAATCCCAAATAAAAAGAATCAGAAATGAAAGAGGTAAAATTAAAATAGACATGACAGAAATACATTGGAGCATAAGAACCCCTGCGAAAGTCTCTACACAAATTGAACAACCTAGAAGAAATGGACAAATGTTTAGACTCATACAACCTCCTAAGATTGAAAAAGCCTGAATTAGAAGGCTTAAACAACCCAATCACAAATGCTGAAATTGAAATATCAATAATAATAATAAATTTTTTTAAAGATTTATTTATTTATACAAACACTGGGTACAGTCAGAAGCGCGGGAGAGTGAGAGAATTCACCAGAGCCAGAGCGGGGAACAGAATAGGCACTGATGAAATACACTAATGAAATACAGTGCTGAGGGGAGCAGCAGGCGTGGCAGGAGAGGTCTGAGCGCCATGTGGTGCCCTTGCCAGAGGTCGGGGAGCAAGCCGGTGCTGCAGAGGCCGCGGGCAACCCCGCAGCCTAGTGGTCAACCGCTTCGCCACCAGTGGAGGCCCAAAACTTAAAATTTTTTATACCTCAAAAGAAACCATCACAAAGATTAAAGTCACGCTAGAGAATGGGAAAAATATTTGCATACCATACCAGACCTCTGACAAGGGGTTGATCTCCAATTTTTGCAAAGTGCTTAAATAATCCAATGACAAGGAAACAAACAACCCAATAAAAAAATAGGCAAAGGATCTAAATAGACACTTTTCTAGTGATGATATTCAGATACCCTACAGATGTATATGAAAAATTGTACAACAGCACTTATTATAAGGGAAATGCAAATTAAAACTACATTGGGATACTACCTCATTCCCGTGAGAATGGCCTACATAAAAGAATGGAATCAACAAATGTTGGTGATGTTGCTGTGAAAAAGGAACTCTCATCCACTGTTGGTGGGACTGCAAGATGATGCAGCCCCTGTGGAAAATGGTATGGAGATTTCTTAAGAAAACAAAAATGGAAATTACATATAATCCACAATACCACTTATTAGGTATTTATGTAAATAATATGAACACTCCAATATGAAAAGATTTGTCTACGCCTATGTAGATAGCAGCATTATTCACAATTGCCAAGTCATGGAAGCAAGTCAAGTGCCCCCAATAAACAAAAAGATAGAGAAATTGTGGTATGTGTACATAATGGAATACTATATAGCTACGAAGAAAGATGAAATGGTGGCATTGGGGACAAAATAGATGGATTGCAAAGTGATTACTTTGAGTGAAATACAGCTATTGGATGATTTCACTTATCTGTGGAATATAAAACCCCAAATATATTCATAGGCAAAGAATAGTAGAAATAAATTTTGAACTCAGCAAAAAGAATATAATGGCTACCAGAGGGAACAGAGGAGAAGGAAGCAGATGTGGTAATTGTGTGGGTGGTTTGGTGGAAGTTTAAAAGAAAGAAGAAAATTTAAAAAATAAAACAGAGAGAAGCGCTTATGTAGACACAGATAATTTGGGATGAGGCACTATTCAAGAAATGTGTATTAGGAAAGTAAGAATGATTAATATGGGAAAAATTTTTATTTTTTATTGTATTATTTTACCAAATATAAAAACTTATTTCAACATATAATCATTGTAAAAAATATTAATGTGGCATTTCACAATATATTTTTCATATTGAATCTTCAAAATCTAGTTTGCATTTTATACTTCCATCATGTTTTAATTTGGGTACTAAATTTTCAATGATAAATTGAAATGTACTTCTACCCACCTCTCCCAAATAATGGTGTGTTTACAGAAATGTTACTCCACTTCAGTTTTTAAGTTAAAATTATTAACTTAATAATTGGTGGCGCAGGCGGTTGAGAGCAGCGCTGTGAAGCTGTCCGCAGCCTCTGCAGCTCTGGTTCTATCCCGGCCAGCTGGGGAGATACCCACATGGCACAGCAGACCTCTTCTGTCCAGCCCTTTGCTCCCCTCAGCAGTGTATTTCAGTCAGTCTGCCTGTTCTGCTCCCTCTCTGGTGAATCCTCTCACAGTCCCATCCCCCCCAATCTGGCCTGTATCCTGGTTCTTGTATGCATGAATAAATAAATCTAAAAAAAAAAAAGTAAAAAAAAAAATTAAAGTCACACAAAACAAAAAAATCAGTGTCTCGGTCAAGGCAGATGCATCTCATATCTCATATGTCCGATAGCCACACATGGTTAATCGCTATTATTTTGGGCAGAGCAGTTTTGGACATTCTCTAGAATTCTGTTTGCATTTCTAGGGGATTCATGGACCCCATGCGGTTTATCCTTGCTCTAGTTGAGAACTGTCCTTTTCACATGTTGTAAGCCAATTCAGTTTTGAAAAGTCAACACATTACTTTCTGTACGTTCAATGAACCCGATTCAAGTGTGCTTAATGAACCAATTTCTCGGATTAAGTCAAGTGAATCTATAGAAACTGGAAAGTGGGCTATTGATTCGACTTAGAAAAATCAGCTGTAGATAATAGGCTGCTGCTCTCCTCGTCTTTTGGTGTGATTAGAGGATGTAACTTCTAGACTTTAAGGTTATGAGGATACATTATTGACAAGCCGACTTCAAAGTCTACTTTTCGCAGGGCGCATAAAACTCAAAACCCCACGCATCAGCCGAGGAACTTGGACAGATAAGGATTTCTCTAAAGCCCACTTCCATTTTTAGCCAGAGCAACCGCCTGTCAATTCAAAGTTTTTTGGAGAGAGAGGCGCCTCCACTACTCAACACACGCCGAGCGGACCGTTGCCAGGTACAGCCGCAACCACCCCACCATTCCTCCCACCGAAACTCGGGAGCGCAATCTTTTTCTGGTAAAGGCTCCGGCCCGCCCCGGCAAGCCCGCGCGCCCAGCAGCGCGGGGCCTCCTCCGCCCCGGGGCGCGGCCCTGCCCAGGCCAGGGGCGTGTCCGGGCGCGGGGGCGTGTCCGGCCCGGAGGCGGGGCCGGGCCGAGCCAGGAGGCGGAAGTTCCCGCGGGCGGTGGGGACGGCGAACTCTCGGCGCGTCACTTGTCAGCGCTCCTCTGAGGCGGCGGCAGCGCGGACCTGAGGTGAGTGGCCGCCCCGCGGAGGCGCGTCTCTGACCCCTCGCAGGGAGGAGGCGAAGAAGCGGTCTCTGCGCGCCTGGCGCTGGGAGCGGAGCGCGGCTGGGGAGGAGGAGGGGCGCGCGTGGCGCGCGTGGGCTGCCTCCTCAGGTGCTCCTCGGGCGCGCGCGGCGGAGGTGGGAGAGCCGGGCGGCGCGAGGAACGTCCGGGAAGGGACGCGAGGCCGTGGGCGTCGGGCCAGGGTCTAGCCCTGGAAGTCCCTGGAGCCTGGGCCGGCGGGCACGAGCGCGGCCGACGCTGGGACGCGGGCGTGGAGCGCCTGGGTGGCGAGGGCGGGAGCGGAGGGGCTCCCGGCACCCCGGCCTCCACCTCGGCGTCCGGGAACACCCAAGTTCTGCACTTGGGGGTGTGGGGTGGAAGCCGGAGCAAATGGGAAGGGCATGCTATTTTTCGTTTGCTCTCACGCTACTGAGAAGCATTTATTTCCCTCAAAATAGCTACAGTTGTGTAACCTGTTTTGGGGAAACTTGTGTGCGCCCGGGAATAAAGCTCTTTTAACAAATCGGTCTGTTGAGAACGCCAGATTTATTAGTACGTGAGTACTTGGGATTTTGCAGGGCTGTGCTCTCCGTGCGCTTGACAATAAGTGGAAAAAGGAAGGGCGTTTGGACGAAGCAGAACTTGGAAAGAAAATTCTTGGCTGCGCTGGGCAGGGCAGGTCTAGGGTGTGCTCCCCTGTCCTATCCCTAGTCCGCCTTCCTGACCGCGAGGCTCGGGAACCCGCCTGCCACGGAAACTGCCGGCTCCGGAGCCTTATTTGGCAAACAGGACTAGGCGTGATCCTTGCTGGAGTCTGTTTTGTCCGCTGCTTTCATCTTGTGCCTGTGGCTGTAGTTCTTCAGCTCCACCTCCATTATCTTCCAGTTTGGGGGAAGAGAGAGAATCTTAAGATACTGCTCTTTAATGTGAGGCCCTGCCTGTCGCTCTGAGCAGCTCTCCTTTCCCTCCTTCCTACCCGTCAGAGAAGTTGGAATGGGAGTGTGGGGAATGCCAGACTTCCTTTCTCAGTACTAGAGCGAGGACATTGTTTAAACTTTGCCTAAAAGAAAATCCAGAACTGTACAGAAGTTCCAATATTTTCTGCGTGTTTGAAAGCAGAAGGTTCTGCTCGCTATTTTCTGTCTGTATTTTAGGAAGAGTAATGATCAGATGGAGTAGATCTTGAAAAGGCCAATAATAATATTACCAGTGCTTAGGGATCAGAATATTTTAAGGCAGATTAAACTAGGAGAGGGATAATACCAGAAATGAGTTGACGCCCAGTTTTATGGTGTGACCTTGACCTTGCCAGCCATACATACTGGGAGAAGTCAGGAAGGGAACTCTCAAGTAAAGGGAAGGTGCATGAGTTGATGTATAAATTAAATACAATTTCCTGTAGGGAAAACAGTGGGGTCAGAGGAAGTTGAACCTAGCCTTCACATTTTCTCTTGACACAAGTTAAAGATTAAAAAAAGAGGGGAGGGAGAGTACGTTGCCTGTGAAATATCTGTTGGCTTTACATGCTCCTGATTTGTATCCTGTTCCAATATCGAGTCTTTCTCTAATAGTTCTATGAGAACCTTCTCTTTTATTATAGTGGGAAAGCAGTGAAATTTTATGTGACTTTATTATCTCCCTACTATTGATTTTTCATGCATATCTATAGTTTATTTCTGACTTGGCTTTTGGGTTCTTTTAGTGCCCTATGCCTATTATATCAGTGCTGAAGTGCAATATAATGTTGCCTCCTACCTTAGTACTTTAATCCAGTAGAAACGCTCATGTAGTTGCAGTGCAGAATGTCACTGATTTAGTTTTTATATAAGAACCAGACTTATTGCAAGTTTTGTCTCATTTTCCCTTTATGAGAAGATGGAATCTGTTTGTTCTTACTATGCCCAGTGGCTTGAATTTCTACATCTGCCACTATTAGTTTGGAGTGATGGGATTGAAATTTTGAATAGATTAAAAAAAATGGAAAAATATTTTAAGACAGGTAATGTAAGTGACAAGTTGGTTAAACAGCAGATTTTCCAAGAAAGTCTGTCTTAAATAGCTTTTTAAAAAAGATTTGGTTTTAAAATTGTTATACATGTTATATTTTTAAAGTGAAAAATACCATGTTTTTTAATATTACATTAAAAAACATCTCATTCCTCTGAATCTCTCCCATTCACCATAACAGCCAATACCAAACTCCAAATCATAGTGTTTTTCCTTAGTATTTTAGTATGTAAAGTACTACTTTGAGTCAGTATGAGTACACTTAAAGCAAAACACAGAAAAAAGAAAGCACAGAAAACACTGGCTCTTTTCTAAAACTCAAATTTTCTTTCATGTTTTGAGATTAACCTACATTTCTACTATATTTGGTAGAAACTCATTCACCATGTGGTAAATGCTCACTCTGCTTTGCCTGATGAGGTGTGTGTATACAAGTAGTTTCTGACTGAAATACTATTGTGCTAGAGTATTGCTTCCTAATTTCTCTCTGGAGCAAAAGTAAGTATTAAGTGTGGAATGTACCATGTCCCTATAAACACAAATACAAGTTGTAGTTTATGATCAGAGAGATTAGTTCTGTGCATTTAAAACTACCTTCTCATTTTAAAAAATTTAATACTTGGAAGGCACATATGGGAGTCTCTAGATTTGCACTCCCTTTCATATGTTGGAGTAATTTATAACTTAAGTAAGTAAAATTGAAGGACCCTTGTCAACTTAAGGCAAAACAATACATGAGGAGGGAAGGGAGTATCATTTTGAATTAAACTTGAAATAAAATTTTTTTCTTTCTTACAAATATAATGAAGTGTTGTACTTTGAATTAAAGTTTTTATGAAAGAACCCACAGATTGGATGGAAATAATGAGAACTTAATATAGACTTATCCTCTACATCCCCTACCCCTTCAAAAAAATTACTGAACATAATTTAATTAAATTTAAATTAAATGCATTTAAATATGTAATCGGTTTACAGATAAAACATTTTTGATAACCATCTAATTTTCTTTCACAGTTTCTTTCACTTCTTGGGATTGGACTTTGAGCCTTTAGAACCATGAGCAACTACAGTGTGTCTTTGGTTGGCCCAGCTCCTTGGGGTTTCCGGCTGCAAGGTGGCAAGGATTTCAACATGCCTCTGACAATCTCTAGTGTAAGCAAACTTTACAGATTTTATTACAGATTTCACCGATTTCAGATGTTCATCCAGTGCTTGGCCCTGGAAACCTTGGGGCTGCATTGTTGAAGTATTTGGATGACCTGTATGCTACTTACTATAAATGCTTATGGAATTTTATCTTTGCAAGCAATTATATATAAAAAGGAAGGGGTTTGTGGGATTTAGTAAGGATAATTGGTTTCAATTAAATGTAGTTTCGGTGTCCCCCTGCCTTCCGTATCTTTAACTGTCATTAATTTGGGGAATTCGCTGGACCTTAGTTTCTTATGTAATATTGGAAGGTTTTACTATGGGATTTTCATTTTCCCTTTCGGCTCCAAAAGCTGCATTTTAAGAACTGCTGATAAATAAAATGACTGTTTTTGGTATTTTCTTGCCTCACTTTCTAGTGAATGTGGTAGCTAACAGTGAAATGACCAAAAGCTGCTTACCTTTGAAGAGGAAAGGAAGTATGTATAGCTCCAACTATTTAGTCAGCCTATGAAGAATTGAAATTTGACCTTTTACCTCATTATGGATTTAGTTTGAGTGTATTCTGTGTATATGTTTTAAGGATGTGTTTTCTTGGTGATGATGATACTCATGAGGGTAGTAATTATAGCTTTTATTTATTGAAACCTGAGTGTGTATCAAGCATTGTTTCAGTTTTATCATCAGTAGGTAATTATTGCTATTAATTAACTCCTGTAGCTTCTAGAGAGATTTTTTTCTATAATCAAATAAATGTGAATAGCTACTTCTCTTTTATGTATATGGTAGCATATTATATAAACTTTTCCACATCTCAGTTTGCCTTAGCAGTTTACCAGGTTCAATTTTCCCTATCAAGAATTTCTTTAACTGTCTAGAATTCTCTTGTAGTAACATTTATTTGTAAATAAATGTAGTAACATTAATTTTCCCAATCCCTTACTGAAAGGCATTTCTGTTGTTTCCAATATTGCTTTTACAGTGCCATAGTGGATACCATATATGCATATGGTTTGTGTATATATACATAAATATATATGCATATAAAATTTTGATAGGTTATGCCAATTATACTTTTTGTAATACATGGAAATATCTATTATCTTCTATAGCCTTACCAGCAAATTTTGGGGTTTTTGCCAAGAGCTTTTATATGCATCATTCAGTTCTCACACCAACCTACAAAATAGTGATATTATTATCATTGTTTGGACTGGTGCTATGAGCTCACAAGATTGGTATGGAATTGCTGACTTTCAAACAGTATGCTAATGATGAAGTTGATTTTAAATTTAGGTAGATTATTTCTCTAATCAAATGTTTAGAAAGATATTTGCTTTTTGTTTAATTACATATACTTACTATTAAATAGAGTATGTACAATTATATGTACTTATGTACACACTTGCTTCTTAACAATATTTATGCAATTTGATTTTGAAAGATTAAAATAAGTTTATAACCTTTAATATATCTGCAAAATACTGCAAATCCTATTTACTAGTGAAGTTTGCCATGTTTCTTGCATTTTTAAAATGGTTAAGTTTTAATTTATTACCAGTTGCAGTCCTAATTCCGGTTTGTCTGACTTCACAAGGAAATGCATACATGTCATCATCCTGCAAGTTTTTAGACTTCATGGTTGGATGACTTTTTTTTTAAAAAGATTTATTTATTTATGCATACAAGAGCTGGGGTACAAGCCAGAGGTGCGGAGGGTGAGAGGATTCACCAGAGCCAGAGTGGGGAACAGTACAGGCAAATTAACCAAAGTACACTGCTGAGGGGAGCAGCACACTGCTGAGGGGAGCAGTGGGCGAGTTAGGAGAGATCTGCTGCGCCATGTGGGTTGCTCCCTGGCCGACCAGGGATCGAACTTGTGCTGCAGAGGATGTGGACAGCTTCATAGGTTGCATCTTAACTCCTTGCGCCACCAGGGAGGCCCTGGTTGGTTGACATTTTAATTGTCAAGCATCTGTGTACAAATGTGTCTTGTGATTTGTTCCTGTTTGAGGGAGTCTTTGGCTCCCTCCCTCCCAAAAGATCTATTATAAGGAAAGGAACAATATTTGAATATTGTGCTTTTTATGTTCTGCTAACATTATTTTATATTAAATTGGAATTATCTGCTCTACAATAGTGGATTAAATCACATTATTTTGTTAAAAAACTTTTGTTTTTGCTGGAGAAAAAGGTCCAGAAACAAGTTGACACCCAGTTGAACCAAACTTGATCATTATTTTGTTGTTGGGCATTAGAAATGAATTTGTAGTATTTAAATTTGGTGGTACCAGACCTTTAAAAAAGTTTTCTGTGCTTCAATTCCCTCACCAAGAACTTGAGACACTAACTTCATGTTGTGAAGCTGATACAACAGAACACTGTGTACGTATGTATGTGCCCTCCTCTGGCACAGGAGAGATACTTTCCTTGTGTAGACAGAGTGCTAATTAAAGGACTTTGAACATACTGATTAAAAGAGACCAAGGTAACAAAGCTGCTGAGTTATTTCTGTTCTCTTACAAAAGTCTCTGCCATCTACTGTGACCTTTTTGGGCTTTGTGCAGTGGGGCATGTTATTCATTCTGGACTGAGAGGGTGGGAAGAAGGGGGAGAAAAGAAGGGAATGTTGGCTGAACTGTGCTGGGAGGCTGTTGATCTTTCATTGTAGTTATTTTTAACCCCTTGTGTGGTTCAGTTTAAATATGCCTAGTAACATTGCCTAATAAAGATGTATGCCTACTAAGTAATTAAATTGTCATAGTAAGATTACTAATGTTATAGCTCATCTTTATTAGTTCTCTGGTTGTACTTACTGTGCCTTAATTATTTAAAATTATTGGGATATATTTTAGTGGTCACCACATTATTTGACTAATGGTATCAAAAAGCAATTAAAAACTGAAAGCCTGCCTTAAAACATGTAATTTAGTGGTTCTCTTATTTTAATAATGTGCATGACATTCTTAGCAAGGTCTGCACATAATATTGTTTCAGTTATCTTCTACAGTAGCATTATAAAATTGAAAAGAAAAACTGTTTAGAGACTCATATACCCTATATTTGTAGCTAACATGGCAGTTAAATTTTTTACTTACTGTTTGTTGGAATTAAAAAAAATATCACAAGTTTGTGCTTGACTAAGAACCTTCATCTTTACATTCAGAGTTCAAAAGTATACATTTTTTCCTTCAGTCAGGTATTAGTTTGTTGAACTCCGAAGGGCTATTTTTAATGTTGGGACTGTGAAACCTCATTTGAGATGATTAAGCAATTGGCTGGGACTTGAACATTCTGTTTTCTTGAGATTTTGTGTTACCTGCATACAAGTATGCTGAATATGGCTTGTGTCTTAAAGCATACAAACCATAAAGCTTTACATTTCACTCAAATTTGTTCATTATCTTTATTGTATGATTTTTACAAACTTTTTTAGTAGGTATATTTCTAAGATAGGATTGGTAATTCTGCCAGACCTTTAAAATATCCTCAGATTGCTGCAACGCATGATCACATGTCATTGTCTTCAATTTCCTATCCTTTAAATGGGAGTGCTGGCTACAGGAGCTTGCAGGCTCTCTTTTTATGACCCTATATTTATGGAATTGCCTTGAAGCCATGGAATGCAGGGATGGGTTTCATTGTAGCAGTGTGGGTTTGTTGGTCTTCCAGTATATTTTATAAGAAGAAATGGGAGACTGGTTGCACAATTCAAGACCATATTTTGGCATGTGGATTTTCCTCATGATGGAATTAAAAGAAGGATAATATATTTGAATAGCATTTTTTAAATTCAGCATCCTAAAGTAGAAACAGTGCTGTGTGATATTTTCTGATGGTATTCTGTGATAGTTCTGTATGGTATTAGAGTTTTTTCCTCAGCTGTCACTGTTTAGATTTCCTGAAGATGACCTCCCAAATCTTGGTATATACATATCCATAATGTTTCTCTGGCAGATAAGAATGAGGTCAGATAATTCAGGGCAGGATCAGTTGTTACCTGATTAGATAAGATTTGAAAAGCAGTAGAAGTTTACCATTTCCTGGAATATGGATTCTGTTGGGGAGTATAACAGAACAGAGAAAGAGTGGTGAAAACACTTTGCTATGAATTCATGCATTCAGCAATTAAAGGAATACTTTCTAGAAGCATTGAAGTTTATAAAAGGTATTGAGGAGTTGGAGCTGGAAATAAAGAATAGTACTAGACAGATTCACACACAGTAGTTGATGAAATGATAAAGATACAGAGAACTATTGATATTTCTCATTTTTAGTGACATAGCTCTGTAGGGGTTGTCTTCCTGCAGGAGAAATTAATTAAACGCTTCCCTAGATACACTCTGAATTCCTCAAAGTTAACATTTCCTTGTGTTGGTTTTGGTGTAAAGAAGACTTTTCTTGCCAGCTTAACTCTGGGCGAAGCTGTGTATATAGGTGAGTGATTCTCCAGACAGGCCAGTTGTAATGTTTCCCACTAGAAGAGGATAGAAAGAGACTTTCAGTCCTCTCAAGCTGAAATGGGAGAACCATCCTACCTTGAATAAATGGAACCATTGTATATTTTAAGCTGTAGACTATTTTCTTTTCTATTCCTTCCCAGCTCCCCTATCATTATGCCAAGTTAAAAAGTTAATAATTTGGTTTGTGTAATTACACAATGTATAGTTCATGTGTCTGTTCACTCTGTGTTTTTAAATTATTAATGAACTTTTGTATAGGACTCTGAGACCTGTTTTTTCTACTTAACAGTTTTTGATCATTTGTAGTCCCAAAGGACAGGAATTTCAAACTTTTGAAGGTATTTTCCAGGTCTGCAATTTTTTTAAAGATTTATTTATTTATTTATACAAGCAGTGGGTACAGTCAGAAGTGTGGGAGGGTGAGAGAACTCACCAGAGGCAGAGCAGGGAGCAGAACAGGCAGACCGACAAAATACACTGCTGAGGGGAGCAGCGGGTGTGGCAGGAGAGGTCTGCGTGCCATGTGGGACCCTCGCCTGG